CTGAAGATCTCGAGGAGTTATAATTGCTGGCTAAACTGTATTTTTGCGTTAAAACAAGGAGACTTTTGCTGTCGTTTTCCACAAGCGATCGTCTGCCAGGTTACACCTTGTTGACTAGTTGCTTGTAGAAAACTCGAACACAAGCTTTTTGAAAACTTTCTCTTAAATAGAACACCCTCCACTAGACGTTTATTGCTGAATTATGAAATTTTTGTATATCTTTTTACAAAAGATAATTGTTGCAGTTTTCTAAGGTGTGTTCCTTTCAATGCGTTGAAAGATTTATGTACATGTATGTGTTTTTAATTATCGAACCTTTATGAAATTTTGAAGTAACTATGAAAATAAATTTTCTAAAACCCTAACATCGAGCAAGTTTGTCGGCGGAAGCAACACGACAGACAATGACTTTGGGAAGGACGGAAGTTTCTCATATTGAACGTTTTTCATTACCTTCCACTGCCATCTTGACTATCGAGACGCGTGGAATCTTGGTAAAGGCCAAACCACACCCTGTCCCCTGTACTGTGGCAAGTCGATTGATCGACTGACTGACTGATTGATTCACTGATTGAGTGAGTGAGTGACAGTGACAGTGACAGTGACAGTGACAGTGACAGTGACAGTGACAGTGACAGTGACAGTGACAGTGACAGTGACAGTGACAGTGTCAGTGACAGTGACAGTGACAGTGAGTGAGAGTGAGAGTGAGTGAGAGTGAGAGTGAGTGCGTGAGAGTGAGTGAGTGCGTGCGTGCGTGCGTGAGTGAGTGATTACGTTACTTGGTAAAATTCAAACCTGATGGAAGCATTGAGCTAAAAGAATCCTTGAATTCGCAAGACTGACCAATTTTTTATTTCTCCATACAATAATAATACATTGCCAAGAAGGGAAGTGATGAGAGTAAGGAGGTTCATCACCTGAGGCGTATTGTCTCGATATAGACCAAAACCTCACTCGTAACAAAAGAAATGCATGGCAATCGGAGAAGAAATCGAGCTTTAGAGTTAGGAACACGCAGTTTTTAACTTAATGCATCGTCAGTTAGCATTGGTAATCGTATGAATGCGTATGCAATAAGGATTGTACTAAGAGCGTAATTTAAAAATTGTGTTATACTTACATGAGCCCTTACTCCACTTAGCGAGTCCAGTAAGAACTTTCAATTATCACGAGTTCTTCATTGCTTGAGCTTTCATACAATTAGTCATTTATAATGTGTCAGAGAAAATTACGAAAGCGTCTTTATTAATTTACCCTGCAGTGCTGATTAAAAAAATAACGATGAATTCACCAGTTCCTATCCAATCCCAATGGAGTAATTTTCTAAATCATATAATAAAGGTTTTTCTCGGTGAGCCTTATGGCTTCCGCCCAATGCAGTATTTATGTGCAGTTCGTTGTGGGTCGAAGCAGAATCCTTGATTTCGTCTTTTTGTGTCATGCAGTCCTGAAAGGAAGAAGCCAAAGCATACATATGGATCGTCTGGTGGAGGTACTGTTTACTGTATT